AGCTTTTGAAATGCAGCTGATTTGACCGTCAAAGTGCATTTATTAAGGAAAAGTTAGACTGAGACACACATTTACTATAATTTCGAGCAAACAAACAATTGTTTTTAAGTGTTAATCTTGTTCAATTCTTGTTAAATCCTCCCTTGCACAATCCCGCAGCCGCCATTTGGAAGCCCATAGATTTTTGATGCAACACCGGCCCACATTTCCGGGTTGTCATCGATGACGCATAATAGATGCAACGTATACAGCGAAGTGACGTATTAATGGATTTTTCCGCTTTATTAGACATATTTGGACTGATGCGACTTATAAGGCGGTGCGACGAATACAGTGGAAAATACGGTAGATCCATTTCTTTAAAAACACAGAATATGAAATCAGAAGATTAGCTGTCCAAGTACATCAACCTTTTGTGTGTGTGTTCATCACGAACCTGAATTTTCTGCCTGTCAAACATGAAGAAGTGAGCGCGGGCTTCGTCGAGTCTCATTCGCTGCACTCGCCACATGGCTCGTCTCTCTCTGCGAGCTGCTTCCTCTGACAAGCGGCTGTACTGAGCAATCAGCTCCTTCCTACAATACAAGATCAAAATGTAGACGTGCATGATGTCAGGTGAGGGTATAAACAGAGCAACTTGCAGTGGCTATGTAAAGAAAGCAATTACTGGTATGAAGTCACCTAAAAGCATTTCTTTACATAATTTTATGATAGGACTTAAAAATGAATCCAATAAATTTAATCTTAAACGTTTAGAATTGATTTTGTGTGAATAATCCAGCTTACCTCCTTTATGCACCTCAACAACTGATTATTTTTAAATGTAAAACTATCAAGGCTTGTAAAAGATGAAAACTGCATCAGCATTGTACAAATTCTAACATTCATCCGAACACATTCTAAAAAAAATTAGGTTTATAAGCCTTGAATTCTGTGAAGATTTCATCAAGCAGGAGGAGTGCAGGATGTGAACTGCGTTTGAAAAGCTGCAGATGACAGGTGCTTTCTTCAGCGTTGGCACACAGATCCCCACCATGTTCAGACTGAATAACAGCTCTCTGCGTGCATTGCAAACTCTGATAGCATTTGCTCACGCTGCAGCATTACCGCTTATTCCAACTGAACTGAAATGTGGCATAGACCCATCCACTAACATATGTCGTACAGTTGGAAATTATGTCTCGGCACTTTGAACATATATTGTATATCCAGTTCAATTTTAACGTGGACTGTGGAAGCTGTCAGACCTGGCTCTCTGCTCCAGCTGCTCCTCCAAGGCTTGTAGTCTCTTGCCCCGGTCTCTCAGCTCTCTGGCAAAGCTGAAGTCATTCTCCTCCTGCTTCATCTTGGCTGCAATTCTCCACTGCTCCCAAAATATCAAACATACATACACCCTTGCTTTAACAAAAGTTTTGTTTTACTTGCATTACTTACAAATGTTGTAATTATTTTAAATCTACGTTATCAGTTTAAGAGTTGGAACTATTTGAAATGGGGGTTGTGTGGAAAGAAGGAGTCATGGTAATCTGCTCAGAAACAACCAAATGAGTAAGAAATTAGTAAGTGTGGTGGTTATAATCTATGTTTGATGCGTTGCAGACACAAGCAATTCTGAATTGATATAAAATGTCAAAAATAATTTTCATTTTATGCTAATAACCGCAGACAGGAATGCAAACGGCACTCGTGTTAGTGCCGCGCCTGGACAGTTTATGGCATGCACACAACACAGAATGAGGCTGACAGACATAAAAACAGCTCGTTCTGCACAGAAAGTAATTCAGCTTCTTTAAAACTAAATAAAAAGAAAGACACTGATAAGAGCTCCACTGTATGCACGTTGTGTACATATTTTCACTCAGAGGAAGGAGAAGAAAAGCAGCCGGTTGTAACTGCCGCTGCAAACGGTGGAAAAAAGAGCGAGTGATGTAAAAGTTTTCATCTAACATGGAAAAGACAAAGCAAATTACAAAGTCCATTTCAACTTTTGTTGTGAAGAATCTGAACCACACTCAGTCTTGTGCTGGTTTTTCACTTTGAGCATGATCATTCTATGTCAAAGAAATGACCCACAAAGCCGTTCCCATACTTTACAAGATCAATAACAAAGTTATGGAAACGCCATAAAGAGATCAAAATAAAGTGGGATGGATGGATGGATGGATGGATGGATGGATGGATGGATGGATGGA